GTTTTTTTCACTCAGTGCTTCCTTATCCTGTGTGTGTTTCTGAATGCCTGTAAATCTCAGGATACTGACAGGTTTCGAGATCTGTAAGTCATTTGGCAAAATAATGAACTTCGGGACAGTTTCTTACACTATACTGGTGTTTTTGTCTTTAGTATCAAAACCTGGCTTTAAATAAGCATGTTTCCCACTGACGCTTAAAACTTGAAACCCTGGGTTTAATCATATTTACCATTTTTATAAAAAGAAATAAGAAGTCCAGGATGGGGCTGGAGGTAGCCTAGAATGAGTTATTTCCCCAGAGCTAGTGTATACCTACACCCTGATTGAATTACTCTGTTTTGCCCTTAATCTTCTCCTCTGGCCTTCCAGCTTTCACACTGTATCCTGAATCACAGGGTTGAGAACCTAAAATAAAACCACACAAGTCTTTCTACTCTTCTGTCTGATAGCATCATACTATTCTTTTTCTTAGTCATGTTCTGTAATTACACATTTATTTTAGTATTTGTTGCTTTTCAGGTCTGCTTCTCTCAGGATATCAGGGCCCAGCACATGACCAGACTCATCAAACCTGCTACATGTTTTTGTAGAACCCATGAGCTAAGAATGGTTTTTACATTTTTAAATGATTAAAAAATCAGAAGAAAAATAATAATTCATGACATATGCCAATTATAGGAAATTCAAATTTCAGTGTCCATGAAGTAGAATAAGTAAGAAAATAAAGTTTTGTTATACAGCCGTGCTCATTCATTTACATGTCACATGTCACATACCTGTGGTACAGTCATTTGTGGTCTGTTGTACTAGGCAGAGTGGAGTAGTTGTGACAGAGACCACTGGTCTGTAGACCCTGAAATATTTACTTCCTGGCCCTTTGCAGACACAGGTGGCTGATCCCTGGGCTGGACATTAAGTTCCATGAATATAGCCATGGGTTCATGAAAGCCCCGTTACTAAGCCCATTACCTGGTAGCATTCAATAAATGTTTGTTCAGTGACTGAATAATGGAATAATTAAATGTATGGATTGTGGCTGCATCTTACTTATGTTTAAGCCCATATTCCCCACCCTCACCAGAGCTGTGAGGTTCTGGATTGCTCTGGTACATAGTATGGCAGCAATTGTCAAACTTTTTGGCCTCACTTCCCCTTACACCCGTAAAGAAAAATATGAGGATCTCCAAAAGCTTTTCCTTGTGTGGGTTTTATTTACTGATACTTACTGTATTAGAAACTAAAACTTAGAAATTTGAAAAACACATTATTTCATTTACAAATAGCAATGAGAAATCCATTCTTGCTAACAAAACACATTTCTTTGAAAAATAAGTTTTCCCAAAAGCAATTTAGTGGAAAGAGTGCATTGTTTATAAGTTTTATAAATATTTTTAATGCCTGGCCTAATAGAAGGCAGCTGGACCTTGTTAGTTTTTCTGCTTTTAATCTGTTGCAAATTTGTTATTTTGTTTGAAGTAGATGAGGGAAATCCAGTCTCACACAGATATGTTGTGGGAAAATGGAGAAGTGTTTTAATACTATTTTCAGAAAATAGGGGGTATTCTGCTTTGATATGATGCCAAAATTTGACAATTAGTAATTTCTTAAAAGTTAATTGCAACATAGAATCTGCAATCATATCAGTGAGTATTTTATTCTGCCTTGCATTGAAATCTGCATGAATGGATATTTTACTTTTTGGAGTATAATTATTAAAAGTGTCACAAATGCAATGTAGTTAAATTCATTCTTTTCCATTCAGGAAATTCCCAAAATCCTTAGGGAAATAAGAGGTGTTTCTGGATGTTGTTAATCCTGCCTGAACAGGATGTGACAGGGGGATCTGAAGTTGCACACACGCTCCCCCACACTTACTGCACTTCGTTACTGTTTCTGTCTAATACAGATACCCGAACACCGTCTCAGTATGATGAATTTCTCTAGTCCTTTTCTGTAACCTCTCTTTTAAAATTAAATCACCAGGTTTGTTTTAACTCCTTTTGTTTTAGTTGATGTGAAACATCCATAAACTGAAATTAGGTTAACATTGGTGCCAGGCTGGTTGAAAAATTCAAAGGGTATTAACTTCTCAGCTTCAGGGCACAAGATAATTGGATGAGGGGAAAGTTAGAAAAAGATGCATCTCTTCTCCCAACATGACATAACACTCCATGAACAGCTAGGAGCATTAATGTTAATTCATAAAAGTTTTATATGGAACCAGTAGCAAAAGATTACATGATTTAAAAATAGAGCCACAGTCATAAGCTGTATTGCATTCAGATTGTTTTCTTGATTTTGAGATGTTAATCCTGTAGGATTAAGCTGTCAACTCTTGCTGTTTTATATTTTGAACAGTACAGCCTGAGAGCCCCAGAATAATAAATATATACAGAGGAAAAAAAGACTAGAAAAAATGTTGACAGTAGTTACCTCTGGGTGGTGAGATTATGGGCCATTTTTTTAATTTGTTTCTTGTCCTTTTTAAACATTAATTACAAGTGTTTATTGATCACTTATGATGGGGCATGTATTGTATTGAATAGTGGGCTTAGAGCAGAGAACAAATCTCTGAGCTTCCAAATAGGTCAATTTTCGTATTTCCTATAATAAGTATGAAATCTTTCTATAATGACATAAATATAGTAAATATTATAAAACTAAAATGAATTGAAAAAATACAGTCTCTCTTTTTTCTGTGTGGTTTGTTTGTTTGTTTTTGCTGGCGGGGAAAGGATTGTGAGTTTTTGGTTGTTTTCTCTATAAGTACAATTAGCAACTGTTTCATGACAGTTAATCCAAATATCACCAGGAAGTCTTTACGATGGGCTTTGATGCCAAATGAGTTAAAGCCTTCATGTTGGGAGGAGGAAGTAGTAGCCTTTTTCTGTGCTATGTTTTCAGTGGTGCTTTTGAGTTATGAAGATACTGTCTCCAAAGGATCCCAACCATCACTTAGTGCCATAGAAGGGCTGAATGTAGCATGCATATGGACCCTCCACTATTTTGCTGCTAGTGAAGGTTTGCGACTCATTTCGGAGGCAAATCAAAGCTGAATGGCAGTGGAGCTTGAACACTGGCTTGTGTCCATGGCCTGGAACAGCTTGGAAAGTGCACATCTTCGGTATGGAAACATCTGGGAATAAACTTGATGATGAAAGAAACCTCCTTTCCAAAAGGACTCTTATTTCACTTATGTGAATATTTCCTGACTACTAGAAGATAATGGAATTACTGTGGGATTAGGGTTTATGTTTGATCCTAGACAGGAAAATAGAAAAATGGTGGCTGGTATAATGAGCAGTTCTTCAAGTGAATCACTTTTGACAACCAGTCTCCTTTCTATTTTTATAGATATATGATTCCCAAGGTTTTGCAGAGACATTTGACTCTGTAGGAAGGCTCAGTATGGCATAATATATTTGTGAGAGAAAAATCATGACTAATTATAAAAGCAGCTCACTGACTAGTCAGACAGAAAGGAGCTGGAAGCCACAACCAGCTCTTTGGCACAGACTTTCTGTGAAACTGTGACTCCTGAGCTGGCCTTCCCTGAAGTTTCTCCTCTTAAGAAATGATGGAGCTCAATAGAAAATAAAGATCAAGTGGTGGTTGAAACGATGCAGAGAAAGCCATGAATTTAATCGACTCTAGAACAACAACATGAGGTTAGATTTTTTCAAATAGGATTCATTTATCTAAAATGAAAGAGGCTGGAGGGGGATATTGTTTAGAATCTTGCTAAAGCCTAAATTGAGCATGGCCAGAAAAATGAGGGGTTACCCCTCAAAAGCTGAGAGAGACAGTGATGACACAAAAGAAAATACTATATCCAACAGGTAGCAATGTTACAAAATTCCTTATCCCCAGTGGGGGTGGCAGAACATACAGTAACATGACTGAAAGGATCTTCATGATTTCCTATTAAGTGAGGCAACTCAGATGAGGAGAGCTGTGATACTGGACACCCACTGGTAGTGTTGATTACCTGGAACCTGGCCTGAGAAGAAGGCTGAGCACCAGGGTACATGGATGTCTGTGTGTGTGTGCACATGTGAGTGCATAGAAGTGCTGTGGGGATGTCTACCAAAATGTTATTTTCATACTTGATTAGCAATAAAAATGAAATATAGAAGTAATAAAGTAATACATTTTTTCTGGATTTGTGAATCCACAAGGAATTGTGTAGGTAGAGGAGTATTGTTTGAGGTATTTTGTGTAATTTATTAGGGAAGGGCAACCTGCACAATTCTCCTATGTCAACTAAAATAGCTTTCCCAATGGGCCCTGGGTCTACTTCAAGAGAGCATTGCTTGGGCTGTTTCATTCTCAGCTCAGCTTGCTCGTTGGACAAGCTGACTCATTTTATACACTTGAGCAGTCAGCATGGCCTCTTGCCTCCATACCTTCCCTCCCTGTAGTCTTTTCTCCCCTAATAGCCAGGTTTTTAAAATGCAAGTCAGAGCTTTGTTCAGAAGTGTCCAGTGGTCTCCAATCTCATATATAAGAAGATCCGGAATAATCACAGTGGCCTCTGAGGCCCCACCTGGCTCCCTGTTCCTGTGGACCTCCCCTTCCCCTGCTCTGCGCCCACCACACATGCCCTTTTGCTGCACCTTAGACCCATCTGCACGTTCACCCCAAGGTCTCCCCAGGCATCTGCGTAGCTTAGTCCCACTTCCCTCAGGTGTGTGTTCAGGTGTTGCCGCACCCTTCACCCCTTCCCTTCTCTCGGTTCCTGTCCCCTAGCACCCAGTTTCAGCTTTCTCCTTAGCACTTATCCCCACCTGACATTTTTTTTGTATTTTTATAGTGACTATCTCCTACTAAAATTATAATCTCTAAATGTTGTCACTGAAATGGAAGTCTACCTCTTTTGTCATTGCTGTGGCCATGCAGCCTGGGGCAGTGCCTGACACAGAATAGACAATAAATATGTGCTGAATGAGTGAATTCCTGTCTCATGTCTCCATTTTGTGTTCCGACATTTTTCTTTGCAGAGAAGTTGTTACATTCAACCATTTCCTCGAAGCAGCAGCAGAGAAGGAGGTTCAAGGGAAAGCTCGGCTCCAGGACTTCATTGAGAATCTGCTGCAACGAGTAGAACTGGCCGAAAAGCAGTTAGAGTACTATCAGAGCCAGCAGGCCTCCGGCCTCTGCCGGGATGTCAGGGAGCATGTGGTAAGTCATGCAGGTCTAGCCAAAGAGTAAGGTCCTTGGGTTTGGCAAGATCAGGTCAAGGACAGAGGAAACGGGAGCTGGGGAGTGACTTGCAGGCACTCTCCAGATATCATCTGAGAGCACATCCGGCCAGGCCTGTGTTGAGGAAGTGAGATAGGTGAGGCTAAGACACGCAGAAGTGAGCTTCCTTCTGGATGCACTGTCTCCGGTTCTTCCCCCTCTGGCTCCACACACACCAAGCTGAATTGGTAGGAATATTTTTACATTTGTAGAATAACAGAGTTTGAAGTATTCAGCTAAATCATCTGTCACAGCCTCAGTGTTCAAGTAGATCAGAAGATAGTATGGTGTTTTCATAAGGGAATCTTAAGAAAGCTTCAGCCCTTCTCAGCAAAGCAAGATTTAACTACCTATATACTGTTTTCCTTAGTAGGAAGGAAAACACTATTCAATAGCCTTTAAAGTTTAAGCATTCTTAAGTATATTTGTAGAGACAGAAAAATTCAAGGACAATAGCTCTGTTACAGAATATACTTTTGCATAAAGTTTTACATATAGTTTCAGGGGCTTGAGAAATGACGAGAGTCCAGATGAAAACCCTACATATAGGTGGAGGTCCAGACTCTCACAGTGGCTTGATCAAGTTTTCCCGGTTGCTTTGGAGGGTGGGGGGAGGTGAAATAAGCATGCTGTAGGTGAGGGGTGTGGCATGGGTGGTGATTTTTGTCCTCTAGAAAATTTCCTTGGTGGTATAAGCAACAAAGCCAAAGAAAGGACTTTTGAAACGCCAAAGTGGTTTATTTATAACATTTTTATCATTTATTGAATTTCATTTGCACTTGCCTCCTTCCCAGAAGATTTTAAAATGATCCTTTTACTTCCCCCAAAATGGACTATATATATTAGGAAATAAGAAACATTTATGCTAATCAGCAGTTCAGTACGATTGCTGCTACTGATTGATAAAACCTTCAGTTTGAGCATTCTGGAAGCCAAAATGGAAAGGAAATATGGTTAAGTAACAAAAGGAGGAATAAAATGAAGGGCAGATGAGTAAAAGAAGAAAGATGGGAGGGAGAGAGGCAGACTACAGGAAAGAAAGGAGAGAGGGAGGAAGGTAAAAAATATGGAAATCTTACCCAGTGCTTACTGTAATAATGTGCACTCAGTAATGCAAGTTTCAGAACCTTCCAGAAACAAAGTAGACTGACAGGAAGTACTCTTGTTATATCTGTGAGGGTTCTGTGTTCAAAGCAGTTTCAGCTACATGACATACTTGTTATTTTCCAGGTGGGTGTCTGTGGTTCCCTGAGGGGAAACCTTTACTCCCTTCCTTGATTCCGCTGTTACCCTCTGGGAGACCATGCGAGTGTCCAAGTGTAGCTCACTGGCTGGAGGGCCACTCCGAGCCTCTTCCTACCCTCTTCTTCCATCTGGCCCTGTTTCAGGAGAGAGTTGTGGCATGAGGTCAGAGAACTCGCATATGAGGTGAAAAGGCCTGCTTTCCAGATCATTCTCACCTTCCCTCTGACAGGGCAAGACAGTTTATCTTCCTGGGCTTTTAATTCTTCTATAAAATGAAGCAGTTAGACTAGATGCTCTAAAAGATCTTTTGGTCTCTTAAATTCTCTGCTCATTACCTGACTTTGGTGGTTAGGAATTCTAAGATTGAAATGTAGCATTGATATTGTCAGGCTTATAAATAACCCAGAGCTAAGAAATGTGTGAGGTTCTACTATGCTAAGCCAAAAGGATCTTAGAGAAAAAACAATGGAAAGCAAGGGGGAAGAAAGGAAGCCCACTAGTTCTCTCTCTTATTTACAGTTCTGTGCTCACTTCCTCTGCTCAGTTTATTTTTCTAGCTTGAAAATTGAACACCTTTCCTAAGACATAGCCAGTCATTATTTCCTGCCATGCTGTGCCATGTGATCAAAAGTTGAGCAGCATCTCTACTCTCTAGTCAGGTGTATATATAAAATTATTTATACATGTGCGTGCACATATAACATATATACATGTGTGCACATATACATATAAGTACACATGCACTCATGCATACATACCCATAAACAATTATGGTAGGAAATTAATAAACATTTATGTTCAAGCCCTCTGTGTCCCAAAACATAGATGACATCACCTGGCTTCATCAGACTTGATTTAACTGGGGAAGAACTGATTCATTCAAATACAGTGTAGCTAAGATTACAGCAGAGAATTTGGACAAGAGAGCTGTTTGTGAGTAAAGCGTGATCACACTGTAGGGAAGTGAACTCTGACGAGAGGAGGGAGCATACATCTCCCTGAGAAGACCAAGAATGAGGTGTTTGATTTCTGAAAGGATTTAGCATATGCCGTGTCCCCTGTTTTCATGTATAATCCTCTAACTCATAATGGACCTCATCATGAGGCAGTCCACAGACCCTGAGGCTGTGTCTCCTTTTTACTTAGTCTGTTTTACCGTAACAATACACACCTAATGAAGTTAGGAGCCATGTCTTCGATGTAAGGAAAGTGCTGAGTCTGGACTCCCGGGTAACTGTGGCTCTAGCTACACAGAAACTTGGATGCCATTAGATGGAGAAGTTTTAGATCATATTTCTATTAATCTCTGGTCTGGCTCAGCGAAGATCCAGAGCACAGAGACACCCAGGCTCATTTCCTGGAGCCTCATTTCCCACTCCCCCCACCCGCCCTCCAGGAGAGCTCTGGCCCCACTGTACCCGAGGAGGGAACAGAGCATTCTGACCTGTGTGCTTCCCTGCCCTCCTTCTCAACATCAGCCCCTTCCTCCCGAGCAGTTGGGACCACCATGCCCAGCCTGGCCTGGCTCTTGCCATCGCCGCTAATGCTATACTACAGAAAGTGTGAATCTTCTTTATTGCCCTTCTCCCCACCCCAGAGTCCTCCTTCTCCTCTTTCTTCTTTTTCCCAATTACCAACTTCAGATAGCAGGGACATTCCTAGATTGGTGTATAAATTCATTCTTTTTAAGGTGCCTTCAAACTTCAAGATTCTTGTGTACTCTAGAAAGATTTTTTTCACCCCTCACATTTAGTGCCTTTTCTGAAATAATGTTTCGGCATCTGTATCTTTCCCTTGATCCCCTCGAGCATTTTTGTTCTTTTTTCACCTGGCTAGTTTCTAAAAGTGTGCTGTGCTTACTCAGATATTTTCTCTTTACGCTCTGAGAAATGCTGTCGAATTAGATGCAAAGTGACCCAGTATCCCATCTGCCAGAATCACGGACAGAGCTGCTCACACAGAAGGTCATGAAACAGCTTGGATAATCTTATTTTAAGGATTGCATTTATGTCCTGCAGGCTGCTAAATTAGGACTAGCAGTAATTCATTTAACACTTATTTATTGAGGACACAGTGCTTACTGAATGCCAAGGAAACTGCTGTGAGTGAGATAGATGAGGTCCCTGCTCTCAGTGAGGAGGGGCTCACAGTAAGCAAGTAAACACACAGTGAAGGTAATTTTGTACAGTGATAACTACTGTAAAGGAAAAAAGTAAGATGATATGTTTGAGATGCCCACTTCAGTGAAATGCTCTCACGAAAAGCCTTGCTGAAGAGGCAGCTTTGCACTGTGACCTGAATAACAAGAGGGAGCCAGCTCTGACTATTTGCAAGTGGGATGTTCTAGACAAAGGAATAGGATTTGCAAGTGCCTGAGGAGTGAACAAGCTTGGGGCGTTTGCGTGCTAGCATGTTTAAGCCAGAGAGTTGGGAAGGATCCAGGTCATGCCAGGGCTTGCAGGTCACGTAAGGAGTTTGGATTTATACCAAACACAGAGGGAAGCCCTTGGAAGGTTTTAAGCTAGAGGTGATCTGTGTTTTAGCAGAATCAGTGCAGCTGCTCTATGGGGAATTGACTGGAGGAATGTAAGAATAAGAGATGGGTTAGGAAGCTCTTATGGTGGCAGGGGAGAGGAGGTGGCAATTTGGATAGAGTGGAGGTAAAGGGAAGTGATGGGTATAGAATATGTTCTGGGAGTAGAATTGACAAGACCACTTGGCCTTGCTGAAGGATTAGATTTAGCAGGTGAAGGAGAAAGGAATCAAGAATGAATCTAAGGCCCTGGCTGGCTTGGTTGGAGTATCATTCCCAAAGTACCAAGGTTGCTGTTCAATCCCTGGTCAGGGCACATGCAGGAATTAACCAATGAGTGCATGGATGAGTGGAGCAACAAATTGATCTCTCTCTCTCTTTCTCCCTCAAAATCAATAAAAAAAATGTTTAATTAAAAAGAATGAATCTAAGGTTTTAGCCTGAACAACAGTGCTATTTTTACAAAGGGGAAGTTGGAAGGAGGGCTAGGTTTCCCCAAGCCTATTATAACAACCTAAGACACCATTTTTGTGTTTTACAAATAGTTAGACTAGCTCTCAGTTCAAGGCTATTTATATTTTTCCAGCCTGGACACTCAATCAAACACACTCTTGATCCCCATCTTCATACACTCCTGTCTCTATACCAAAAGAAGACAGAGTGGACTAGGGAAAATGGAGGTAGGTGGATGGGCTAAGTGGGCAGAGCCTTTCCATCTGCCTGAGACTCTGGGGGCCCAAAAGAACAGTGGCCTCTTGTGTTCACAGGGAGGACAGCATATGACATTCTATAGTGTGCGATAACTGGTCCCACCCCCACCCCAAACCTCAGAATCTGAAGAATTGGTGGAGAAATTCTGATCCAGCCTGGATTCCACTTAACTTGTTGTGTATATACTTCCTTGCTTTTATACTTATGTGTACAAGAACACACTTTTTAGGGAGGATGTGTGGAGTGAAGATTTGCTTTGGCTAAGAAGGTGCCATGTTGGGCTTGAAGTCCAGCTCTAACACTGGTAAAGCATTGGGGCTTTGAACCAGCCACTTAACACATCTGTTTGCCTTAGTTTCCCTATCTGTAAAATGGGGATTATAAGGTCTCCTCTTAGGGTTGTTTTAAGGGTTGTGTTTGTTCCTCGGTGAGTATTTTACCCAGTATATGATGTATAGGCATGCACAATTTATGGTACCTATATATGAGGTTTGTGACTCATCTTTATCCATCTTTATTTATGCATTTCTCTTTTTGTAACACATAGTAAATTATTCTTATTTCCTGAGGTCCCAGCAGGGTCCATTAGTGACATCCACAAGTGCTAAGGTTGTAGTTCTTTTTTTTTAAGATTTTGTTTATTTATTTTTTAGAGAGGGAAGGGAGGGAGGGAGAGAGAGAGAGAGAGAGAGAGAGAGAGAGAAACATTAATGTGCGGTTGAAGGGGGTCATGGCCTGCAACCCAGGCATGCACCCTGACTGGGAATCAAACCTGCGACACTTTGGTTTGCAGCCCACACTCTATCCACTGAGCTACGCCAGCCAGGAGGGTTGTAGTTCTTAAAACTACAGGGACTCCTTTGAACATTTGAGAACACTATTGGCCTTTTCCCCAGAGAGGGAAGCAGGAAAGCATATGCACACTTCCACTCTCTCCCTCACAAAATTCCAAAGGGTATTGTGTATACATAAAAACAGTAAGTCATCAAACAATATGTATACAATTCTTTTTTATTTATAGATTTTAGAGAGTGAGAGAGAAACCAATTTGTTTTTCCACTTATTTATATATTCATTGGTTGATTCTTGTATGTGCCCTGACTGGGGATCAAACCCAGCACCTTGGGGTATTAGGTTGATGCTCTAACCAACATGCTACCTAGCCAAGGCCAAGTTATATGTATACGTACATACAGCAGAGTGAAAAAAATTGTTATGCCTCAGTATTAATGCACAAAAGTGGGGGAGGGAATTAAAGGGAGAAAGATCCTGTGTGTGTGTGTGTGTGTGTGTGTGTGTGTGATTTGCACATACACTAAAGTCTATGTAAGGAGCCCAGGTGAGAAACCCTAGTTGGTGGTGGGGGGTAGAAGGGGCAAGGAGGTAGAAATGCTGATGCCTCTGGGGTTCCCAGAAGCTGCCAACCTGGTGTTCATTACCTGTCTCACCTTTTTTGTATACTGCATAACCTCAGGACCCTCATGCGAGGAAGGGGCCTTTTTCTCTTCATGTTTCCTAACCTCATGCCGAAACCTGCCAGTGTGAAATGGGCCAACGGTGATGCTGACTTTTGATTGTCAAAAGGCAGAAGGCAAGAATGCCATCTTGCCTTCTTGGGGATGTGACCCTCAAAAGTTAAGAAAACAACTTTCTGGTTTGCTGCTGACTAAAGCCCAAGGGGCAAACCGGAAAATGGGGGATGTGATCCTGTCATGTTGAGCTTCATTTCTCACCTATTTGAGTCTAGCATGCACGCATGTCTTGGTGGCATTGAGCCCCAGCACCAAGATGGCTCTTTCTCCACATTTTCTTTGTCATCCTCGTCTTCTGTTTGTCTTCCTGCCACTCCTTTTCATGAAGGCGGTCAGGAACAGAAGGTTTGGAATACACTGGGCTGGCCTATAACATGGATGGTCACATCTGGATCACAAAATGATAATTATCACTTTATTCTGAAAATGATATTCCTAGCTTGGCCACAAAAGTGCATGAAGATACTTTAATGGGAGTGGAAAATAATTTCAGTGATAGATGGCCTCGGACAATTGTGGAGTAGGTCAGTCTTCATATGCTCTCATTTTAGAAATGAGGTATTTTAGGCAATAAACATTTTATGCCAATTTTCCCCTCTGTTGATACACTGTGACCATCCACAGCTGTAGTAAATTAGCTGCGAATACAGTCTGAATCAATCAAGAAATGATGCTATGCCATTCCAGTTTTTAATAACATGTTTCTTCAAATGTTGCTCTATTGGGGGGCTGTTTGACTTGTTGAGATTTTTGAGATCTGCTGACTTTGGCTTCTTGGAAATCTCTGAACAGGGAGATGCAGAGGGTCCCGGAGTGAGCAGAGGCTGAGCCCAAGACGTGCCTGTTCACTGCTGGGGCGAGTAGGCAGTGCTCCCAATGGTTACCGCTCCTTTAACAGAAATACCGTTTCTTAAAAATATAAGCAAGATTTTAAAAACCAAGTTCATTCTTCAAGTTAAATAATGTTTTTTTCTTATTTGTTTTCCTTCAGCTTACAGATATCTCTTCAAACAGGAAACCCAAATGCCTGTATGTATTCTTTGTATACCTGGGTCATTTCATAATGTTTACATGATGTTTTTCTGTTGTGTTTTATATGGCACCTATAATATAAATGGTTTTGAGGGTCTAGGTAAAAATTTAGCTGCTTATACAAATAGGATACTCTCATTATTTTCAATATTTTTTCATCCCATTCTGAAATGTGGGTGTGACTTTTAGCTATGCTAGTTGTCTATTATATGGCAGTATGATAGTACTATACAATATATAGTGTTATATGGTGTAACTTTCTCTTATTGAAGTATAGTCATAATAGCTCTATAGTACTACTACTGTAGGGTGTATAGTATATTGCATATATGCATTTATATTGTGAATTGTATACTTTATAATAGCTGTACTACAGATGTGTCTGATTCCTCTAGTAGTCGCTTAAAGACTTGTGAGGTATGGGTTCCGCTCCCATCTTTGCCATAGACTACCTGTGTGTATTGTATTATCCTGGGGAGTCATTTACATTTTCTAGTTCTCAGTTTTTATCACTGGTAAATGGGACTAGTAATATTTCTCTGAGAATGTAGGATTACTTCATGAATGTCACAGAATTTTTGAAAGAAAAATACCAATATATATTACTTGTTTTCCTGGCAGCATTATCGCTGCCCTAGCATGCAGGAGTGATTGTGCTGTGGGTAGCTTTTGTTCTTTTAAGGCTTTAAAGAAGTCTTTCTGCTCATCTGCCCCCTCCTCCCCGACCATCTGTAGAAGCCGAGGGCACCCACATTCAGTGTGCAACCACCCGGATCTCAAGACTCATTTTCATCCAAAGGGAAGGAGCTACCTGAAAAAAGCCAGGGATGACAGAGCCAGCCTGCAGCCTGCTAAGTCCATCCATGAACAGGCCGAGACCCCAAGAGAACTCTGCAGACCACCAAAGAAAGGCGAGCCTCTGGGGTTTAGTCGGAAAGGCAACATCAGGCCCAAAATGGCCAAAAAAAAGCCAACAGCACTCGTGAACATCATCTAATAGGGTGGGTGGCCTGAACCATCATTGCTGGGCTTTGGGGAATGTCGTTTCAGGGGCCAACAACAATGTTCTTTTTCACACATCCCATAATAAGATACAACAGGAAAATAAAGTGCATAACACATTTACTTCCTGTCTGTCCAAGCATGTAGATTAACCAGAATTGAACGAACAGGAATCTTCATGAACCAGAATTTTATTACAGGTCTCTTGTAAAACCGAGAGGCAAATTACAAAAAGAATTTTTTTTAGAAAGCAGTCTTTCTAAAAACTTTAGTAAAAGGAAGCTCCAACTTCTAAAATAATTAGCCCAGTATCCAGTACTTTCTGCATCTGACGTTCTAGGCCTTGGTGACTAGTTCTCTGACCCAAAACCACACAGGATGTCAGGAACTGGGAAAAGGTTCATCTTTGCATTTCACTGCTTGCTAAATTACGAGACAGGGAATAGGAATATAAAGTCTCTAAATAGCAGTGAAATAAAAATATTTTTGTTTTTAACCTGCCCCTCAATTAGTTGGAAAGCCTCCAAAATAAGAATTCCTGTTTCCCAGAGTACTCATTTGTTAGATTTCAGTTCTTATTTCAATGGACCATTTTCCAGTTTGCTTGATTCTGGTTTTTTGTTTCATTGGATGCATGTTTATTCAGATTTTGGTGCCCCTCTGCTGTCTTCTCTGGCAGCCTCTATCCTAATAGTTGTTTCTATTGCTATGGTTGGGGGAGGACATAAAGCCTTTTTGATCAGCAGCCATCAGGAAAAGGGATGGCATGGCTACTCTCTCACATCACAAGTTCAGGGTCCGAGTAGTCGAAGCCAGAGGGTTGCAGAGCGTTGCAAGCCGTCCGGGGGGCTCCACAGCCCTTTCCCGAGACCTTCCCTGGCAGCATCAGTGGCCTCTCCGCTAGCTGCAGGCATGGCTGTCTCCTTGCTCACCTCACTTGTCTACCTCCTGCTGCTTCTGTGCCCTTTTATGACTAAAATACACGTTCTCACCTTTCAACCAGGTATCTGAAGTATTCATTGTACACTGCTTTCTAAAGTGGTTTCTGAAATCAGCAGTACATGTGGGATCCAGAATCTGAGACTGTCTTCCTCTCCTGCCCTGAAATGGCCTTTGCTTCCACAAAGACCCATCTGTTAAGAATCTCCTGTTTTATGACTTTCTTCAAGAATGAACTTTCATGGTTTTTAAATTTAATATTATCCTCAAGTCTCCTGCAGAGTTTACAAGTGCTGACATCCTCTTGGAAATAAGAATAATTATGTACACAAATATATACATGTATACATATATATAACATACAAAATATATATGTCAAGTATATTAGTTTATTTTTAAATACTCATGGAAAAGGTGTGTGTTTGTGGTGGGTGGTTTTTAAACTATATGTGTTAGCTCATGTAAATTGAATTCTGTCATTTTAAAAATTAAAACTGTAACCTAATTAAGATTAGTAGAATTATGATTATTACAATAAACATCAGATTAGCAATGCATTAAAAATAGGTAATAAAGCAATTACTTAACATGACAGTACATTGAAAAGTATAACTTGTCGTTATACAAATATTTTTAACCTGTTATAGTGAAAATGTTGATTTTTTAATCTTCACTTTGACTTTCGGCTCTTGGGGGTGGGCCATTCCTGTGGTGTAAAGGCAACTATCAAGTGGGAAAAATGTTGCTGTGAATATCACTGTTTGGGCTAACACTGTAAAATTGTGATGTTATAATTATTTACTTGGGGAATTAATATTCCCCAAGGTTATTTATTCCTGATGTTCATACCATGATTGCACTTTGGCCTTTACACACTGAAAACTGACTTGTTGATTGTATTGCATGCTGATGGTCCTATAACATGTGTGTGCAGCCACAACTTGTTTTTACAGGTGGTGTAACCAGACTATTTTTCTAATTTATTTAATGTAAAGTACATTTTCGATTTTCATTTGATATGCCGAGAGAGAGCATGACAGCTTTCTTTGACGGTGGTACCTGTGATCTTCAGAAAGCACCATGTCGTTTTACTCTATGTACATTACACAAGGGAGGTGATTTTTAAGATGTATTATATTTAAATTTTTTTAAGTTTCAACTAAAGTGTGATCCTCACACAAGCAAACGCATCACATATGTTGTGCTTCCTTAGGCACATAAATTCGCTACAGAAACGTGAAAGCTAGCTCACTCCTACAGATACCCTACTTCCATTCCATGGCCTGAGCTGGCTGCCATGGCCCCCTTGTGTCTTATTTTCAATTTTCTTTTTTTGTCTACATGGGAAGCCAACCTTAGAGTTGCTCTTTGGAAGAAATCACCAGAGTTCTGGGAAAACATGTTAAAGGTTAAACTCAAGAATGGATCTAATTTGTTTTGTAAGGAAAATAATCTTTATTTGAACTGTTTTTTCATGTTTCCCCCCAAACTAGGTTACAGATTCTTAACTGCAAAATTCAGATTTCTTAGAGACTGTTTTCCAGTATTTTGCAGGGTCGATCAGTTGTCCTGTAGTTGGAATATTCTCTTCCAAGAATTAAAAAGAAAGTTTTTAAATTATGAAATATTATAATAATAAAGCTATATTTCTGATTAATGTGCTGCCATGTTTTGTCTAGTTGAAATATTTCTGGAAAGCCAAGTGTGCCTGTCCATTAACAGTGAACAAAATGGTCTTTTATGAATAAGCTCTTCCTTATACACACAGTCACCATGATCTTCTGCCTGTAAGCCTTCTTGAGAAGTTAGGTTGATGGTTTTTGTTTTTCATAATGTCTATATATCAAAGTTCTTTTTACATATGTTCACACTGAGAACACAAGCCCATTTGACACTTTGTCCCATCTTCCTGCGTAACTGAGTAATTTTCCCACACTGTATTTTTAAACTTGTCAACTCTTAACAAAAACCACGAACAGATTTCACACTATACATCTCAACCTATATATGTTATATATCCTAGTCATTGCAAAGCCCAGAGAGTGATCAGGACAGATCACATAGAGAAGTATATCACTGGTAGAATTACTCAACCATTGGTCTTTTGAGAACCATGGAATCAGGAGACTTTAGGGAGCTCCCATTTGTTCAGGAGCTATTAGAACTATTTGGGAGATGACCACAGTCTGTTCTTATACTTCCATTAAAGTTAATGAGTTCACCAGTTCATAATATTCTTGAGGAATAACCATGACATTCTTGATTATCTCTGAGCATTAGAAAACATAAGTCTCAGTATCTTGATTCTGCTCAGTTGGGATCCTTGAAAAATGAACTCCAGAGACGGCAAGGATGCAGGGTCCCAAACACATTTCAATACTTAAATGATAGGGAACTTTAAAAACTGAATTCCTTTTTGTAGAATTAAGGTGGTGAAATTTTTATTTTTTTGTCCATGTTCTGTATCAGTAAAGTCAACATATCTGAAAGGGATCTTCAACATGTAGCCCTATGATACATTGCCTCTGGGTTTGCAGCCCTTATTCTAAGATAATAGTGAGGTTTTCCATGAGAGTAAATGTGCATAGGCAGGCCCTGCTGTGCTGCCCACACTGATGGGGACATCAGTAAATGTTACATACGTGGAGGCAGGTGTCGGATGGTGATCGAGGGCTTTGGTGCCCGAGTCCTGAGAAAAGAGAGGTCATGCTTGCTGTCCTCAAATGTCTGAAGGGCTGTCACTTGCGAGAATACTTATTCTGTGTGACTGCAAAACACTATTAAAATCAGTGAGTGGGAGTTCTAAAGAAATAGACACCAAGTCACTGAACAAAAAATGCCTCTAAACTCAACAAGGAGTAGGTCACCTTGTTGAAAAGTGAGCTCCGTGTCTCCACACTGCCCTTTGTGGTAGATGGGACCCTTCTTTGTGTGGGGAACTGGACTGGGTTCTTCAAAATACACATATCTCTGGGATTCTGCCATGGGTACTGGAGCTACGCTACTTTTGGCTACATAAAACTTAGTGTTGACATGGTGAATTGATCTTAGAGATCTTATTTCACTGATTTTTTAAAAATTATGTTTTGCCTTTGTTTTCAATTTTTTACTTATTGTTTTTTTAGAGAGAGAGAAATATTGATTTGTTGTTCCACGTATTTATGCATTCATGGATTGCTTCTTGTAGGTGCCCTGACTGGAGATCACGCCCACAGCCTTGGAGTAGCAGGACAACACTCGAATCAATTGAGTTACCCAGCTGGGCTTTTCACTGACTTAAACTTTATGGAATGTTTTATGACATCCACCTACAGTTATCCTCATAGATACTTTTGGGGTAGGTAGGGTGAGGAGGTATCATTTCCTTCCCCTGACACAAACAGAAAGAGCAATGGGGGAAATGGAGGTGCACATCTGGCAGGACCAGGTGCTTCTCAGGAAGCACCTCACCTCACTGAATGCGGTTTCAGTGTTGAAAGAGAAGGTGCACTTTTTGTTAAAACATGGCTCCTGAGAGCAAGCCAGCCATTTCATCTGGTGTTCAGTTGAATTAACAGCCATTCTGTCCAACCCTGCGGGAGAACTTGGCAACGTGGCACTTAGTTTGAGACGGCGTGCAGTGTGTCAGGCTCCGTTGTTATGCCTTCCTCAGGCATTTTTTAAGGTAGTACTAAATATACTAAACTTTTGCCTTCTGACAATATTTAAGAATGTGACTTCATATTTTATCATGAAGGTGGGGCTTATAGTGGTTTGAAAGATTTTTTCCCCTTCATGCCAGACAAAGCAAGAGAACCAGAATATTGTCTTCCTAAATCTCAGCTAGTGCTTTTTGTACAACATTGAGACACCTCCTTGACAAGATTCCCAGAAAATGGCCCTAAATGTATGCATTTGTTGATTATACAATGATCCTCACTGTCCTAAAATTCAGTTTAATATTTATTGTCAATTATTGCAACTATTTAATACAAGCCACTATGCGGGATATAAGTGATCACCACTCTGTCATCTCTAGAGACTCCCCCAGCTTATAATGGAGCCATCCCACTTTGCTAAGGATTACCCAAGGTCCAGATCAAAGTCTGTTAGAATTTAATACACACATTTTGGACACTTTAGATTGGCAGGGAGACACTGAATTCACCTAGGTTGATCTAGCATGGAGAAACAGCCGATTATATATCTCAGCTCCTCTTTGTCTTGCCCTGTGGCCATTCCCCTCATTTCAGGAATGCACCACTTTTTATTTTGTTAACCCCTTTTTAAGTGAGCCTGTAGTTTGACACCATAGCTAAAATTTCATAAATAACCCTAAACACAGAGGCTGGTGGAGGGAACTGGGAGTCTTACAAAGTGGGGGTCACCCTAGCATGAACAAAGTTGCTCACAGTGCAGTAAGGGCAAATGGGTGGACACACAGTTGTTCATGGGATGCAGGACAATGCCCTGAGCTTGCCTGCATGCTCTGGCTCTGGCCTGCCTCTCCCACCTCTTCCAGTCGCACGCCTCTGACTCCCTCCTCTCCAGCCACTGGCTTCCCTTCAGAGCATTGCAAATACCCTGTGCTCTCTGAGCACCACCATGCTGCTGCCTTCTTCTGCCTGGATGCCCTTCTCCTTCATCTGCACCTGGTTAATTTTTACTCAGCCTTCAGATTCAAGGTCAACCGTCACTTCCCCAAGGCAGCTTCATAACTCTCGGAACATCATGTACATTTTCACTGTTGCAGTGATCCGAGGTGCCCCTTCAGATCTAATGGTGTGATTCCTTGACTCACATCTACTTCCCCACTAGTCTGTCATTTCCATGAAAAGGGGCCATATCTGTACCTTTTATCCCCAGTGCATCCCCAGTGTCAGGTGCAGTACCTGGCACAGAGTGGGTCTTCACTAAGTAGTGTTTGGGGAGCATGCAAGCATCAATAGCCTTGGGTACTTTAAACAAGGAAAGAATGATGAGAATGTGGATTTTCTTCCAGCTGGGAAGTGATACCTGAAGAATGAGTAGGACTGGGCATAACAGAAAAGAGAAGTGCATTGTAGGCTGTCTGAGCACAGCCACGGAGGTAGAAAGCACAGGCCAAACAAGGCCCGGGAAGTACGATATTTCACCTCGTGTGGCCATGTGTTCGCCTGTCTGTCTCCCCATCAAGAGGGTAAGCGTCTTTGGTCTGCACCTATCCTGTAGATTGTGTCCTAATCTGTCTTGATGTTTAGCACCTAGCACCAGACCAGCTGCTGTACTGCCATTCAGGACAGATCAAGAAGGGCAGGATTATACCTAGAGCCTAGAAAGGGCCTCAGCTTGCCAGGAAGGGCAAGCAGCTCCAGTTATAGGAAAAGAAGGCAGATTATTGGAGCATTCCCCTTATAAGGGCCCTTCCAGCTAGTGTTGGAACGTGTGCACTGGCTGGTCACCACTCCTATCAGTAGATATTTTGAAATTCTTCTTCTTTTAGCCTGCATCTATGGTGGGATGGAAAATACATGGCATTTCCTCCTTTTGAATCCGTGGGAAAAACTGCTAATTGACCATAATTATCTGTCCTGATGAATGTAAACATAACCTCAGATTCCTTTTCAGCACAGTCATGACTGGCTGTGGTCGACAGAATAATGCACACCCCCAAAAAAAAGTCTATGTCAGAGTGATATGACACAAGAAAGACTCAGCCAGCCACTGCTGGTGTTGGAGGAGGGGACTGTAAGCCAAGGAGAGCAGGCAGCCTCTAGATGCGGGAAAAGGTAGGAAAATGATTCTCCCCAGAGCCGCCAGAGAGAAATGCAGCACTGCTGACACCTTGGCTTTAGCCAAAGAACACCTATGTTGAATTTTGAAACTATAGAATTGTAAGATAATAAATAGGCACTGTGTTATGCACCTAAGGTTTGGTTATTTGTCACAATAGCCACAGAAGACTAATATTCCAGCTCATCATGTTTGGCACACACAGTGCGGTCTACTTGCCACTCCTCAAAAATGGTGAGGTTGCAGGAGGACTGGTTTTGGCTGCCTGCTTCATAATTTTTATCTTCTGTAACTGTGGGTCCAGTTTCCTCAGCGGGAAGATAGACAGAATACGGCCATGCCCTGACCACATAGAAAGTACTTGGGGGACAGCCATGAAGTCTTCCTTCATTCCTACCACCTCCCTACCCAAGAACTTGAAAATTAAAAACAAATCTTTCTTGTATATGAAAATAAAAAACAAATTATAATTTATAATATAATCAAATTATAAAATTATGAAGTTACATTAAATAATCTATTTGATGATATTAACATAATAAAACAGCTAGAATTCTTTTTGAGAATTTTTGTGAGCTTATTTGAACCAGAACTGATGACAAGTGCTGGGAAGCAATATGTCAAATGCTCAAGGGAATGACAATCTTGCAGTTTCTTTTATGCATATAAAATCAAGGAGGGAAAGTAAGGAAGATTACATGAAGATGGATGAAAACAAGACAGGGATAGGATTATAGGACAGTTGATATTATATTAAAATAGTTAGATATTAACATAGTTGAAGAAAGACCTGGGCTCTACCACTTGCTAGTATTGTTATCTTGGGCAATTTATTTCCTCAAAGTCTCATTTTCTCTCTCTCTAATTGGGATTATGAGATAATCTGTGTTAAATTTGTAGCCCAAT